CCTGTACTGACGCATCTCAATTCGAAATATTTCTATCTCTCATTTTCGCTTACTTCTGAGCGCATTTAACAGCAAAACCAGTTTTCTTTTACCAAAACCTCCTTCTCAATAACCATGCAAAAAAGTTGTAATCTCTTAGAATGGAATGCCTTTCCATTCTGATAAAGATTTATCCGTGAAAGTATTTTCGTATTTAAGTACTTGCGGTGCAAATAACTGATAATGTAAACTGGTGTAGATTTCTATATACGCTTCGGTAGTCTTTGTTCTCTTTTTTTGAGGCCGTATGTGACACTCAAGAGCGCAGGAACATTGAATTTGAATGGGCAAGGTTGAGCGTGGGTAGGGGATCATTGCCCTAAAATTTCAGCCTCCTAGACTCCGTGGTTCCCGAGATATTAACTTATCCACAATCGCAGTTAGCAGTACTAACATCTAATTTTTCGGCAAGATCAATAGCCAAAAAAAAAAAAAACATTAACAGCAAGGAACTAATATCAAGACAATTTTTAAGCCAGAGAAAATCACAGAGCTGGAGACAAGGGATCAGTCTAAGTATCACGTTCACGAAGACATGCTTGAATGCAGTCTGTGTTTTATCCCTTATCTGTAAATCACTGTTTATTGGGCTGCTACTGTAGATGGTTTTGCTTGTGGGGCTATTAGTACAGAGAAATAAGCAATCCGTGATTTGTAAAGTGAATAAAAGCACTGAAGTCTTTACCTTCCACTATATGTACGTGGCAAAAAACCACCGGTACGTTTATAATCCTGGATTATATCGGATGCGCCAACCGTACTGTGATCATCCATTTCGGAGCAATCCTGCAGCATCTCATCCGCTCCCACGTATAACATATGTGTCTGAAAATTTATTTTGATCTTTTTAAATGCATAACACTTAAGAAAATAAACATTTTGCATTAATTTTTCTACAGTCTATGAAGAATGTCCATACGTGACGTATAGCGTTTAGCATGTATTCATTTTAGCGAAACTGAAGCTCTGACGAAGATATTTTGGGCGATTTTCTAGACATCCTGAAATGATCTACAAAGGGATGCTTTTGTTACTCGTTTGTGGTGGAATTTGTTGAAGCAATCAGTAGCCTTGCCCAGTGACCTCTCCTCCAAAAGCGTTGCAAATTAGTCCAATGTTGGAAAAGGAACAAGGTGTTAACAGCAAGGAAACGAAACTATCGGCTAAATCCCAGTTGCCCTTCGATTCCATGTGATATGCAAATGTCCCGTCTCCTCTAATCTCTCTGTGATATGTAATGATGTGATTAAAAATAAGTAGGATTGTTTCTGTGTGCAAGGTAATTGTGCGACGGCAGCTTGGAGCTGCTACCGCTTTTCGTCCCCGCCTCTGCCCTAGTTGTACGGTGATAACTTGGAGCTGTTGCCGGATCTGACGCCGATTCCCGTTGGTTTTTATGCGTTTTGTGCTGTGTAACAGCAGTACAAAACGCATATTGTTACGGGGTTGTCT